AGACGCTGGATGGTGGACCAGAATCGCCTCGAAGCCTTACAGAAGTCTTTTTCCATGGCCTCCCCAAACTCCTCTCACACCCAAGTTTTTCCCTCGGCAACCACCTGAGCCACATGCCGCTTGGACTGCCGAAACCCATCAGCTGCCTCTGGAGTCCCAAAGGCCAAAAAGGCCTGGTAGGACTCTATCTTCAGCCTGATGGCATGCCTCACGCTGGTGTTCACCAGCGGGTTCGAGGGTTACCGGCATGACAAGCATTGACAGCCCTGTGCCTGCAGCTCTGAGAAGCCGTGTCAACAATCGAGGCACGGAACATGTCCCCCACCTACCCCGGAACGTTCTCGAAGCTCCAGGACATGCGGCCGAAAATCAGCTGAAACGACAACAAAGTCGATCATTGAACTGCGGCCTGGAGTGTCCTGGTCCCATCAGCACATATGAACACCCCATATGCCTGAACATGGTGTTCGTTATGGACAATCCGTTCCGAGCACAGAATTCCCACAACAAAACATCACTCGGATTCAAGCTGGAGGGGCCATTCCTCCCAACCACGCCCCTCTAGCTCACTGTCGTTGCCCACGTGAGCGTTGAAGTCCCCCAGCAGATCATGGGCGTCCCCAGGGGGGGGCACCCTCCAACACCCCTTCAAAGAACTCCAAAAAGGGTGGGTACTTTGGACTGCTGTTAGGCGCATAAGCACCAACAACAGTCAGCACCCGTCCCCCCCTCTCAAGAGCTATGCGTCGAGGCGAGACCGACTATGTCCAGCCGGAATCTCTCCGCCTTGCAACTCAAGTTCCTTCCCCACCAGAGAGGTTACATTCCACATCCCTAGAGCCAGCTTCTGCAACTGGGGATCGGTTTGCCAAGGTCCCCGACTTCGGCTGCCACCCGTTCCACAATGCATGCAACTCCTTTGGCCCCTCCTATGGGTGGTGAGCCCAATGGAGGGGGGACCCATGTGGCCTTTTCGGGCTGAGCTCGGCCTGGTTCCATGGGCTGAAGCCCGGCCACCAGGTGCTCGCTAACGTCCCCGATCTCTGGGCCTGACTCCAGGGTGGGGCCCCGGTGACCCGCGTCCAGAAAAGGGCGCACTAGATCCATTGATGTTTTTCTTCATAAGGGGTCTTTTGGGCTGGCTTCATCTGATCCCTCACATAGGACCCGTTTGTTTTGGGTGACCATACCAGGGGCTTGAAGCCCCGAACAACAAAAGAACTAGAGTCAAATAAAGTGCACGCTTCAATGCCTTCAACAATAGCTAAGATGGTGGAAGAAACAGGTCATCGGGTTATGAGTCATTAAGGTCAGACATTAACTCTAGGGAATCATTCAGGGGCTGTGAGACAGAAGCTGATGTTTGCCCCTCAACATCAGTTAATGGAAGTTTCCCGTCGGTTGAAACCAGAGTGTGACTGTCTTTCAGGAGAGTGGAAACTAGGGTTTGGACTGCCAAATCAGTATCTCCGTGGAGCAGCACTAGGACTGTTTTTTTTTTTGTGTCATCATCGTCATAGAAACCATACCTGGAATACTGATGAGGTTGACAGGATGGAGAGTAGTGCCGGTCATGTTTGTCATTGTTGTGCCACTCATGGTTTCTCTGATAAACAGGAGAAGGGGAACGACGATCAGAGTGGAACTCTGGATCACAACCATAATACTGCTCAGGTGAATAATAGTCTCTGCAGTGTTTGTCATGTTAGGGTTGTGGAGAGACACTGCGTGCACTGTATCGAGCATCGTTGGATTAGAATCTGTCATGCCTGGAGTCCACATGCTAAGTCAGGGAACTGTGTTTCTCTTGTAAGTACTGTTGACAGTAAGAGTCAACTGCTCGACTGCAGGCAGAAACTTGTCAACAGGAGGTCTAGGATGAACCATAGCTACCTGTTCTTACCCAGCTCCGATCTTCGGGCCCATACCCCCACAGTCCACCAAATATTGAATACCCCGTCCCCGACGGCGGACTGCGAGGAGGCGGTCCACCTCCCAAACCAAGTCACCGTCATCCAGGACCCCGGGTGGAGGAGGCAAGGGGCCGGGATGGGCCAGGGGGCTGGAAGCAGCTGGCTCGAGTGGAGAAACGTGTGGAAGAAGGGTAAAGTCCACGGCTGCCGGGTTGATGACCCTCTCCACAGGATGGTCGTACATAATGGGGAGCCAGCTTACGGGAGGTGTGTGGGACGGGAAAGTTGTGGGAGCAGATGTAGACCATCTGACCGGGCTGGTAGGATGGGGCCTCAGACTGCCACTGGTTGGTGGCACGCTCAGATCGTTCGATGGCCCTCTTTAGTGCAGCCCGAGCAGACGTCCAGGTGAGGCGACAATGTCCTTGAGCACGGACAGATGGCACAGAGATATCAGCCTCTTCACTAGGGAACAGAGGGGACTGGTAGCTGAGGGATGCCTGGCAGGGGGACATGTCGGTTGCACACACCATGGTGTTGAAGGAGTACTCTACCCAGGGTAGGTACTTAACCCAGGTGGCAGGGTTGCTTGTGGTGGTGCAGCGTAGAGCCATCTCCATGGTTTGGTTGGCACATTCTGCCTACCCATTAGACTGGGGGAACCAGAGGAGAGGCTCGCCGTGGCGCTGATTCCCCTGCAGAAACCCCGCCAGACCTTGGAGATGAAATGGGGGCCACGGTCAGATACGATGTCCCTGAGAATTCCATTGGGGCGAACCACATGCTCGACCAGGAGCTCCGCTGTCTCAGCAGCTGAGGGAAGTTTGAGAAGGGGCACGAAATGAACTGCCTTTAAGAACCGGTCGACCACCGTCAGTATGGTGTTCAGTAAGGCAATTGGACGTGAAGTTTTCTAGAAGACGCCTCTCGTCCAAGAGGCTTCATTGGTTCTAACTGATGGTGGGGAGTTGTAACGTTAGACATTTTCCCAGCAGTCCATCATTTTAGCAGTCACCAAAATGGTTAACTAGCACCTCCTTGTATGGTAATATTCGGGGGAGAAATAATGACGGACGGCCATCTTCTCTTTGCTCTTGGAACTCACCTGACCGTTTATTGCGCATGCTCACAATAACATTACAGTACACGCAGGTACGCACATTTTAATATGACGTCACTGCGTACGCTTTATTACATGGCTTCGCTACTTATATTATCAACTATACTCAATACTCCCACTCAAAGACTATAGTGGTAAACAAAAACATAGCTTCAAAATAAACATTTTGGCATACTGACTGTGTTCAAAAATAAAACTTCAAAAGTATTTATATCCGCCAAGTCATATTATTCTCTAAACAAATATCCCTTGAACTTCTCAAACTTAGCCTTTGTCACAGGCTTGGTCAGAACATCAGCCACCATGTGTGCAGTAGGGCAGTATCCTATAGATATCTTTCCTTCTGCTTGTGCAGACCGTACGAAGTGATACTTTATATCAACGTGCTTGCTTCTTTGTCTGCAAACTGGGTTCTTAGATAGAGCTATCGCCCCTTGGCTGTCCTCATATATCTTGACAGTAACATGCTGGTTACTACTATCTATTCCTTTAAGTAGTTGTACAAGGTACATACCCTCCTGAGTAGTGGCTGCTAGTGCCATGTACTCTGCTTCACAGGTAGATAGTGCCACTGGCTGCTGTTTCTTACTCTTCCATGATATAACTGGACCATTCTCAGTTAAGCTGAAACAGTATCCAGTTGTGCTCCTCCTGTCATTTTTATCGGCTGCCCAATCAGCATCACTATATCCTTCAAGCTGTAGCCTTCCCTTACATTTTTGGTAATGTCATTCTTGGTCAATAGTACCCTTTAAGTACCTCAATAAGTGTTTTGCTGTGGTCCAATGCTGTTGTTTTGGCTCTGCTAGGTGCTGTGATAGTTTACTAACATTCCAGCTTAGGTCAGGTTTTATACATGTCATTATGTATATCAGGCTACCTACTATCTCTCTAAATCCTGTTGGGTCGATAACTTCACCCTCACTGTCAAATTTTAACTTTTGCTCACATGGGGTGGATCTTGGTTTGCATTCGGACATTCCAAATCTAACTAACATTTTCTCTATGTGTCTCTTTTGAGTCATTTTGACCTCTCCCTCACTCTGTTCAAAATCAATGCCAAGGAAGTGTTTAAATGGACCCATATCCTTCATCTTAAACCTTCTCTTCAACATTTCTTTTACATCACTGAGTAAGGTGTTGTTACTCGCAGCTATGAGTAAGTCATATACCCAAACTAACAGAATCACTTTCTCATTCTCTGCTGTAGACACAATGATCAGCATCATTTTGTACAAAACCATTCTCTGTAAGGTGATCATGCAGTAACATGTTCCAGTTACGCCCAGACTGTTTTAAAACATACAATGACTTATTGAGTTTACACACCAAGTGTTCTCCTGTCTTTGACTTAACCTCAAAACCTTCTGGTTGCTCCATATATACCTCACAGTTCATAGGAGCATGGAGGTATGCAGTCTTCACATCCATTTGGTGTAGGATGAGACCCTCCTGTACAGCCACCTGTATTAATGCTCGGACAGAGGTCATGTTAGCTGTTGGTGAAAAAGTCTCTTTATAGTCAATCCCTTCAACTTGACCATATCCCTTTGCGACATACCTTGCTTTGCAAGTCTCAGATCCATCTGGGCTCTCTTTCACTGCATATACCCAGCGACCTCCCACTGCTTGTTTTCCTCCTGGCAGTGGGGTCAGAGTGAAAGTTTCATTCTCTGTAAAAGAGTTAATCTCCTCTTTCATCGCGTCAGCCCACATTCTTGATTTCTTAGAGTCCATGGCCTCTCTAAATGTTTTAGGTACATCATAAGCCACTCTGTAGAAAAAATCAACATTTTCACTTTCGTCATCATTACACTCAGCTTTACACTGGTACTCCTTTAAGTATTCGGGAGCCACTCTCTGTCTCGTAGGATACCTCCTTTCTCCCTGTTCTCCCTGAGCACTATCTGTCTGGGTCGGATCTGCCTCAGCAGTTTCCTCAACGCTGGACTCTTTACCCTCCTTAGGCTGTTCCTGACCCTGGTTTTCTATCTTCGGTGCTGCATCTCCATAACTCTCAATAGCATCCCCCATGTCACAACCTGTCTGATTCTGGCTATCTGCGCTACCTTTGGTAATGAATTTTACCAGCCTATGTTTTAAGACTTTTCCTGTCTCAGGATAATACACGTTATATGCTGGACTATATTTATCATAGCCTATGAAAATCCCCTTTTCACACCTAGAATCCAGCTTCTTCTTATCCTGCTTATACACGTAGCATTCAGAGCGAAATATCCTCTTGTTAGATAGGTTAGGTGTTTTTCCTGTGAAAACTCAGTAAGGTGTCTGCTCTAACCGCTTACTGTAGCACCAGTTACGGATTTGAGCTGCTGTTTGTACAGCATATGTCCATAATTGCCGTGGGAGGTTACTCTCCAATAGCATGCATCGTGAATAAGGTTCTCCAACCTCTTTCGGCAGTTCTGTTTTGATGAGGTGAGTATGGTGCACTTGTCTCGTGCCTTATCCCGTTACTCCTTAGTAAAGACTGGAACTCCTGCCCGGTGAACTCTGTTCCGTTATCAGATCTTATGCGCTTTATCTTTCCATATGGAGCTACATCTGCTATGAATTTTTCTGTAGCCTTCGTTGTGTCACTCTTTGCTTTTATTGAGTATGGAAAAATCATCCCACTGTAATCATCTGTAAATGCTATCGAATATCTGTAACCGTCTTCATCTGCTGGTTCTATAGGACCGCATAGGTCTGTTTGTACCAGCTCTAGTGTGGTTTTTGCTTTGGCATCTGCCTGTCTGTTCCTGCTTTGTGTAAACTTGCCCTGTGTGCATATTTCACAGTTTTTATTTGACTTGTCATGTTTCCCTTTTATCTTCATTCCTTCAACTACCTTTTCTAATTTTGGAACATCATCAAAATTACAATGCCCAAGTATCCTATGCCACGTTTGAATGTCATGACAACCATACATTACTCCAACATTTTCATCTTCTACTGTGCTAAAGTAATACAGCCTACCATACACATCCATTTTGAACTTGGTACCGTTCCCTCTTTGTGTAGGACAGTCACTCAGTTTGAAGAAACAGAAAGATGTAGGCTCTGCCTCCGTGTCTCCATCAGCTTTCCTGTACATGGTCTCGGCCTCGTCTTCGATTGCGCCCCCTTCCTTGCTGTGGAGTGTCCCATTTTCGTTCCTCTCCTCTCTTCTGGTATTCGTCAGGACATGTCCTAGCCATGTGTCCCTTTTTACCACATGCAAAACACTCGACGTCAGCTGGGTCCATTTTCTTTCCTCTCCCTCTTCCTCGTGGCCTCGTTGCCCAGCTAGCCTTCATCACGTTATCTACTTCTGCATTCATGTCACTCTTCCCATATTTTTCAGTACTTTTCAGTTTTGTTTTAAACTCGCCGAACGTTACAGTGTCATTTGTGTGATGTCGGGTGATGTGCACTACGGGTGATGTGCACGACGAATGGCTTGTATGAATCAAGTAGCCCTTTTACTCCCATGGCATCTGAAGCCCATCACTTATATGCTCGTCTGCTCTTCTCAATGACGTGAATATAGTCTCTGCTCGAATAATATAGTCAGTGACAGTTTCATTGCTAGCCTTCCTGAGTGAGGAAAGTTTACAATATAAACTCACAACTCGGGGTTTGTCCTTTCCCGCATAGTG